TCTTCATGTGCGTCGTCACCAGCTGCTCCTGCGTCCAGCAGCCACTCAGTGATTTGATATCTTCCAGGGTAAACTAAGGTTTTGGGCCAACCTGCAGAAAGCTGTGTGAGGTCTCGGGGTGTCTGTCCCAAGGCTTGTGTGGTGTGTGAGGTCAGCAGGGACAGTGCACATCCACAGGTCCCCAAGGGTTCTCTTGTTGCCTTGAGTGTAGGTCAGAAACAGACCTGTGGGGCCACCTCCCTCTGTGCTGGTCCTGTGGTGCTGATCAGCAGAAGGACCCAGACCTGACATCATGTGCCTGGAGAACTGCTGTGGACAGGAAGTCATATGTGATGACCCCCAAATTCCAAGCAGCTGGGCTTTGCTATCAGCGCCTGGTGCTTGAGTCACCTGGGGGTTAAAACTTTCTGCTCTGTTCCTCATTAATTCTGCTGTGTTTGAGTCTGTTCACATTGGGGACTATCATGTCGCATGATGACAATAACTTTTTACAATGAGAAATCCGAAGTCGATATGTCTAAATTATGAGAGATCTAATTTAGATTACTAAATATTAATGCCTAATTCAGATTCTTAGATTTACCACCCGAAGTACTCCATGTGGAAGTATTAAGCATCAGTATCAGGAGTAACTTTTAAAGGTTAAATGGATGATAGGTAATCCAAAGGTAAAAATAGATCCTAATAGCAATCATTTTACTTAAGGCATGTTAACTTTGGCAACGCGACTCCAGAATTTCCATTTTTTTCTACATTCTGTTGTGTCTGTATTTGGTTCAAAGTCATGACATCTGCTGCCTTGCTTGGAAATGATTAACGGGGAAAACCATGGAAGTAGCCTATTTCTGCCCAGAGGCCCTGGCAGCTCCCTATAAAACACCCCAGGGAGGATTTGAAAAGCCAGGGAAGAGGTCCCCAGGTCCCCTAACGGGACTAAGACCCACTTTTCCTAGTGCAGCAGGGCAGCCAGGCTCTGGGAGCCATATCTTGACTCAGTTCTCTGTCTGATCTGGGACATAAGTCACCACTGGTGTGTTTGATTTTTGATGAACAATTAGACTTTATGAAGTGAGGCTTCTGATGACTTTTTCACAAGTTTTAACCTCCCTGGTGCGGTGTGGGGTGTAATGGAGGTTTTCCCACCCTGCTGTTTTTAGTTGCAAGGTGCACCTTACCTCAGGCTAGCCCAAAGGAATCTGTGTGTGACATCCTTCCCAGATACTCAGGTGGTCGTTTAAAGCTATCCACTCATCATCACGATGCAATTGTTTTAACACTTGCAAAGCAACATTTGATAAATATATTATCAAATATAAAATTATTCAGGATGTAGAGGTCCATGTATAGTCTGATTTACTAAGTTCTCTAAGCAGTCTATAAAGTAATAAACTCTATAAGGTCCTTGGCTTCAAAAACAGAACTTTGTTTACTCACTTAGCACACACGATCCACTGCGCTCAGCTGAAACTCACTGTTCTGTCTTTAAAACGGTATTATTAGGAAACTGTCCCTTTGCTTTTATTTTTCACCCTTCATTTGGTTTTTTTGTCATGGGGTTCTGGATTGGTCTACATGCAGTTTGGTTTAGGGTTAGACCGGGTCTCTTTAAGTCACTCAGGCTGGCCTGGAACTCGCCCAAGCCTCCTAGAGAGGCTGATAGCAGGCATAGACCACCTTGCCCTACCTCCGTGTTCTTCATGCATGCATTCTGCTGTTTGTGTGAACTGTCAGGGGTCCACGGGAACATTACAGGTGAAACACAGATTCCTCATGGTTGGCCTATTGCTTCCTCACCTTTGATTCTTGGTCTTCTCAGGCAGAGCGCAGATCCAGCTGGCCACCTGCCTAGCCAGGGTCTCAACTGTCCTCGGAAGAAGCTTCTCAGCTTGGTCACAGGCTGGGCACTGAGTCTCATCCCCCGGAGCTCTCCCTGGGAAGCCCGTGACCTGCATTGGCTTCCCTTTGCTTCATGGCTCATGGAGGAAGAGCCATGGGAAAAATATGTTTCCCAAAGCCAGGGCCAGACTTCAATAGAATTGAACGAGTGCAGGCAAGGGGGCTCTTCCTCCTGGGTCAGGCTGAGGTGCTGGGGTGAAGGTCAGGGATCCAGGTACATCACACAGTGCTTTCTGCCTGTATCAGCTCTAGAGCTGGGCTGCTTTTGTGGTGGGTGGCTCTAGAGGCGGCTGCTGATGGGACTCTCTGGAGGGCAGGGTCGATGTCTCAGGTAGATCCTACTGCTTCCCTCTGCAGGCCCTTGCTCGAAACGCTATCTTCACAATTCCTACTCCTCTGTGATCTGCAGGTGGTTTGTGGCATTTAATTTGCTTGAAACGGGCACAGACATTAACTTGCATTTGTCCATCCAGATTTTCTTTCACACTAACGCATTCTTTATTGAGCATCTACCATATGCCAGCCCCTTGGCCTGTAGTATTGAGTCAGACACACTTGGGATCCCCCTGCCCTCCGTCCCTTGCGATTCCCATGGGCATGTTTGCCGTCAGACAGTACTCAGCACGATGTCGTGTGGTGCCCCTCTCATACTGCTCTGGTTTGCTGCCGTGTTCCTTTGGGAGGCACAAAGGTCCCTGGGAGGGTCCCTCTGCCACAGTCAATGACGCAGGTGGCTGGGTGGACAGCACCAGTGAGAACTGTGACTCAGACCTGGTGAGTGACAAGAGCCATGAGGGGTGCTTTGAAGGAAGGAAGTCTCCAGTCAGGCCTTCGCTAAGTGGGAAAGCAGAAGGAGCCTTGTGCAGGAACCGTGAAGAAAGCTCTGGGAGCCCCGCTTCTGGAGCTGTGAGCTCTAAGACCCACCAGGATGTGCATCTCTGAGGGGGCGGTATTGTTACTCTCAAAGATCTGAACCCATAAATGGGTGAGAGAACCAGCCTGTTCGGCTCAGGGCGGAGCCTCCTCTCTGCAGCCTGGAAGGCCTTGGAGAAGTTGGTAGGAGGGGGAAGTCGGGAAGCCCTGAGGACAGGTCGGCCACAGGCCACAGTTGCCAGTCCTGATGGCACTAACTCGTTTATGGCATCTGTCCGTGCCAGCTGTGAAAGGAGCTACTTTGGAATAGAAAATATTTGGAGGCGGGTGGGAAACTCTAGACAGGAATCGGCCCCTGGTTCTTGTAAGCATGGAAGGTTTCCTAAAAAGGTCAAGGAATAAGCATAAGCAAAAGAAGACGTCAGGAAGGTGAGGGAGTTAATGGACGCTCCTGGAATTTAGTTTGTGTCTCCTGGCAGGCATCACAGCCTGGGTTTTTTGCGCAGGACACATTGCAATCTCTATGCCTGCTGGGGCAGGGCTGGAGTTAGAGTCCTATCCACAAGTTCCCATTCACCAGCAAGGGGCTTGGGGAGGTACCCTGGGGCACCAATCAGCCCCCACCCCAAGCTGGTGTCTCCCAGATAGCTGTGGGAGTGGCTGGGAAGCTGGCAGGGTGCTCTCCCTAAGTGAGGAGCACCACTGTGGAAGTTCTAGCAGATTCTTAGCAGTGCACGCACAGATGTTTGAAAGTTGTCATTGTTATATAATAAACACTTTTTTGGGTACTCTGCAGAAAGATTTTATCTTACTTGATTCGCATTCACCCATTTAGGCTTTTTATTCAAAAGCTTTTCTAAATGCATTAATGAATGTCATATGTTCTTGTTTCAAAAGGAGCCAAGTTAAGAGAGAGGAGCCACTCTCTTTGGGGTCGTGTGGGTACCACGTGCATTTTTCCTGCCATGAAACATATTGCCTAAAAAAAAAAAATGAACCTACCTTATGAATTGTTATGATTTGTGCTGCTTCAGAAAACTAATACCTTCCCCCAGCATATTTTAAAAACTGTCCCCTCAGCAAGGCCTGGGCTTGGGGTGGCCCTCAACCCTTTTTTACATCTCCTCCTGAGCTCCAGCCTATCAGTCATCCTGGCCAGGGCACTTCCCTAGCTGCCGACTGCTGTGGATGGAAAGGATTCAGAAGCTGTGTTTTAGTCTCGGCTTTAATATTTTAATGATCCTGCAAGCCTGGCTGCTTTGGTGCCTGAGATTTCTTAGCGTGCTGTTAGCCTTAGCTTGGGTATGTTCATTGGGAAACTCTTGTTTCAGATTCTCTGAGAGACTCCCATTAGGAAAGATCTCTCAGCAGCTTGGCTAGCAAGAAGCCTGAGGGAAGAGGGAAGCTCTTAGCTGTGCGTGTTGGGGGTGGGGTGGGGGAGTGGGTGGGGGCTGGGGGCTGGGGGGTGGTGGTGGTGGTATTGTATCAGTAGTCGAGGTTCTAGAAATTGGCTTCTAAGATTTAACTGCAGCAAATACATCTCTGGAGGGGGAAGGTCTTGCAGAGCAAGGACAGTAGTTGTTGTTCTTGCAAGGGGCGGACACCTTCATTTCGCAGCTGAATCAATACCACGACTAATTATCTCTGGTTATCTTTTATGAGTTTGTAAGACATTTCTTTTGTTCTGTGCCATGAAAGACCCATTGTTTGATCAGTGACTGACTAATTATGATAAGTAATTTGAAACATTCCTGATGAAACTTGTCTGTTAATTAACATCAATAGCACATGGAAACTAACAGGACAACAAAGTCTTAGTACGCGGCCTGGTCCCTGGAATGGATGCACTCTCTCTGTGGCGTGCCCAATAAATCCAAATTGCCAGTGGTTAAAAAAATATTAAACAGATGGGAAGATCTGACTCACCTTGGAGGAAAAGTTGCCACAGAATTACACAAAGGAGCACTGAACAGAGCAAGGGGGGAGGAGGTAACCCGATGGCAGCTGGTAGCCTGGTCCTAGCGCTGAGAAGAAAAGGTCCATTTTTTTGTTTTTTAAGCTTAATTCCCAAATACATTGATCCCATCGCAATCCAAACTGAGACTTTTAGTCAATGAAAGTGTGTACCTGAAGAGCTGCAGTATGGGCTTATTGGGAGCGTCTGACTTTATGGTAACTACTATGAAAACTTAAGTTTTATCAACTCAATGGTTTTTCTTTTATACTTTTAGATTTCTACCTGGACAAGGACTGGTACTATACCCACAGATAGGAGACAAACTGGATATTATTTGCCCCAAAGTGGACTCTAAAACTGTTGGCCAATATGAATATTATAAAGTTTATATGGTTGATAAAGACCAAGCAGACAGATGCACTATTAAAAAGGAGAATACTCCTCTGCTCAACTGTGCCCGGCCAGACCAAGACGTGAAATTTACAATCAAGTTTCAAGAGTTCAGCCCTAACCTCTGGGGTCTAGAATTTCAGAAGAACAAAGATTACTACATTATATGTAAGTATAATTCTATTTCTTTATTTTTTTTTAGGAATTAGGATAAGCTAAATAGGTTTGTATCGTTTCTTATTTTCTTAAAATTACTGTGGTATGTAGTTTGGTAAAAATCTTTGCTTAAAAATGGTCTGCTTTTTCTTTTCAAAGAAAGTTTGATTAAATTTGGGTCCCTGTAGTAAAAGTATTAATTTAATATCAATACCCAAAGAGGGGGAATAAAAACTCCTAGGGTTCTTACAATGTTGAAATAAATAGATTCTAAGAATGTACTTAGCATCTGTAGTACAGAACCATTTTTAAGGACCATTAGTGAGATTTTGATAGGTAAATCTGTGCAATGCCTTTTCTCTTCATCCATCTATCCATCCATCTATACACCTGCTCATTTATGTAGTGTTTGTGCTGTACCATGACTATGCTTCCGTGTTGGAGTCTCACCAGGGAACAAGGTAGCAGAGTGGGGCATTTTACTTGTGAAGCTGTCAGTCCAGAGCAGATGGGGCTGCAAGGTTGGGAGGAGGGGGCTTCCAGGCGAAGCGCACGGTAATATCCAAGCTGCTTAGGAGATGAGGACAGAGGCTGGTTCTGCTCGTCGAGTTATTTTATAAATACAGAACTTGGCACCTTGTTTCGGGAATGGGGGCGTCCGTGCCCATTGGATTTTATCTGCAGCCAGCAACTGAGGCTGTGAAACCCAAAGATTTCCTGAGCACCTCATGAGCTGGCACCAAGCCAAGATGGTCCCCAGGACCCTGGATTTTGTCATATGGATGTCTGGGAGATTGAGACAGCTGTTTGCACAATTCAAGCAATAAAATGCTTTTCTAGAATGTTTGTAGCTTCAAGTTATACTCTTAACTGGGTTGAATTCTCCTCTATTTCCAGAGACTTTAGCTCATTAGGGAACAGCCGTCTGTTGGCTGGGTTTCCCCACTGCTTGGTGATCAGATTAAAGGCCTGGCTTTCTCCACCTATGAGCTGCTCGGGGAGCACAAAGCCAGCAGCTCCCTGAGTATTTATCTAGTGCTCCGTCCTATGTATTTTTTTTTACTACATTAGTAATTAAAACAAAAGTGGTCACAGACAAGCAATTACGTCTGTTGCTGCAAAATGCCACAGAGACAGAGAAGCTGTTCTGAAGCCAACCTAATGCCCAGAGCACTGCTTTCCAAGGATCAGTTTCAAAGAAAAGGAGAAAGTGCTGAATTATATGTATATGAATAATTGTCATGAAAGGAAAATAAAAGCATTCTGCACTGAAACAAGCAGATGGGGTAGTAAAGTGTGTAAAATAAGAGGGAAGTCTTTGAAAATATAGTTATGGGGTAAAATAAATGGGAATTTTTAAGTTTTAGGAAACCTCGAATTGTATATGTATGTATGTATTTTTACATATATGTTTTTAAAGATCAGGTAAAGATTTTTTGTTCCCAGTGGAAGCTAAGGTCTAGCATGATATCTTTTAAGGGTCAGAAATTGACCTCAGATGAATCTGGGCAAAGGCTGTGGCTGAGTAGAGTGGCGGGGGAAGGTGGGCTGTGGACACCTGAGGACCCCACGGAGCACAGTGATGAATGCCCTTCCGCAGAGACAGGACTCCAGCCTGAGCATCTGCCATGCACAGAAATAGCCCTGGACTGACCCTGTCCTCCTACCTTCCTTTATGACATTTCTAAGTTCCGACTGGGTACAATCGGGATTCCAATAAACCTGGAAAGTTTCTCCATTGGTCAGAAATAATATGCAAGAAAGGCAACTAAATAAGTGATTTACTGAAAGCCTTTGCTTAATGTGGTGAGCATTGCATAACTGCTTTGTAGCAACACACAAGGAAATTGTGCTGAGTAGCACAGTTTGTGATTGTGATATAAATCTACATGGTAATGGCATCTCTTGCTTTGCTTTCCCTGGAAGCTCATTATGCCCCAGTAATGGGTTCACTGTAGGTAGCCAAGCTGCTCTGGCCTCCCGAACTCTTCCTAGAATTATGATTTATTGTGCAAAAGAATAGGGCAACTTGGGGTAGGTGAATCCTAAAATAGATTTTCAGGGGGTTTCGGGTTTGGAACAATGAGGAGCTGTTTAAATGTTGCCCTGGAGAGATTCCGAACAGGGCTCAGAACTTTACCGGGAATTCCAGTGACACAAACGCTTTGAGTCGAGTTGAAAGGCTTCCCCTTGTCGCAGGCAAAAGAGGGCACTGCAGACTCATGGGAGTCAGTGGAAGCCAGCTTCTCACCCACCCTGTAGCCTAGCTCATGACACACCAGTTTCCCTTGCAAGGAAATGAGCAATGCGAACTAGTCATGTTAAGATAGTCTTAAAAGTGAATGTTGACTTCACGAAGCTCCTTCAAGTATCCCAAGGAACCAAAATCAGTTAAGGGGTTTCGAAACGCTACCACTTTCCACCTCAAACAAACACACTCTCACACAGCCACAAACACACTCTGTTCCATCTGCCTTCAGAAGAAAGTGTGCGAAGAAAGTGCTTTTTATATCAGTGCATTTGTAGGATAGCGTGGGGTAGCGTGATGGGGTATACACAGATACACTAGCATGGTATTGGGCCAGAGGACTGATTCACTGTGCGACAATAAATAAAACTGGCATTTGAGTTGCTGGGAGATAACATATGGTTAGCTTCAAGTTTCGGGTCTGTTGGGAGCCACCTCCACCATGGAGAGCATTTAACTGCGTGCTTATCGTGTGCTCTGTGCAGACGGTCGAAGTGGTGTTGGATTTACCCCAGTGTGGCCTGAGCATGGGGACCATGAAGTAGGTCCCAAATGAGTAGCATTTGTGAAGAGTTGGTCCAGGGACCCAGAGCCTCACATTTCAGTCCTGCTGCATGAGTTTAATGAGAAAAGTGACTTGGTTTCTTTGAACTTGAATTTCCTTCTCTAGAAAATGCTTTGACTGTTGGTGCTGCTGTTGGTGAAGGATGCATTTCGGGGTTAGAATACAAATCCAGGGCAGAGTCACATGTTGGTGTGGTCTTTTGCGGACGTGGATGCTAAATTCTTGAAAGACTGGCTTAGATTTGTTGTGTTACCTGATTCAAGAGTCACCATATGTGAGATTTGCAAAGTAGGTATTAATATCTAATTGGAATTATACTTTTAAACCTACCGAGTATCAACTACATTCCCTTCAGAAATAAATGACGAAATTATACACATGCTTGCCTGTTCTGCCCATGCAACAATATTTGCTTTGACATGTGGCAAAACTGCACATATATATATATATATTATATGTATATATATATATATATATACATATAATATATATACATATACTTTTTTTTCTTCATGTTTAGAAATGACTTTTTCAAGTGACCTATTTCAGTCATTAGCTTCGGGCTTAGTTCACATAATAAAATCTCCTGATCATTAAAAGATCCAGAGATGGGAATGTTGTGACTGTTTGGTCTGAAAAGCTCCCTGTTCTTCATTACAGTCAGATCCTTAATTACCTTAAAAGCAGTGTCAGTATTTTATGTAACCTGTAGTTATTTTTATCGTGTCTTTAAAATTCTTCCAGTGTTTGCAAAATAACCAAATGTTCAGGAAAGTGCTGTGGACATAGTAAATGTTCAGTGTACTATGTGGAAAGCATTCCTGTGTCTCCAGCCTTTGCCCATAAAGTTTCCTTGGAGGCTTCCCACGCTGGGGTTCCAGCTCCTTGTAGTGATGCCGGCCCAGAGCTGAATGGTTCAGCTTTGCACCGTTGTCTGGAGGAAGATACAATGGCCTGCTCATTGAGCCCCAGCACAAGCTAGGCTGTTCCAGTCAGTGTTTTGCTAGAGAAACAGGTATAACACAGATATGCAAATGTGTAGGAATTTACAAGATTGACTCCCAGAGGTCACCCATCAAGTTGGTTGAGGAAGTGTGTAGAGAGTGTCCAAGCACGCTGAAGACTGAAGGATTCAGCCCCAGAACTGGAGCTCACCACAGTGTGCTGTACGGGTCCACATCTGGAGGCCAGTGGGTCTGCAAAAGAAGGCTAAAGAGTCTCCCCAGAAGGCAGAAGGGTTTGTGGTAGAAGCCAAAGAGTCTGAACTGGAAGCCAGGAGATAATGTCCAAGCTGAAGGCGAAGACTGGAGCTCCTCTGAAGAACAGCAATAGATCCATCCATGTTCATTTCCCCTGTATACACCATGCCGGTAATGAGCTGCCCTAGGGCAGGTCCTTTGCACCCTAGGGTGTGGTATTGCTGAGCCCACTGAGTTAAGCTTTTCCCAGATAAACTTCTCAAGTTGACAACAATCCACCAGCCATCACACAGGCCAAGTTCCTACAGGAGATTCTCAGGGCACTACAGAACTGTGTGAGGCATAAATGGAGTGGAAATGAGTGCCATTGTGTTAATACTTTCAGGTGATCCATCCCTCTACGACAGAGCTGGAGGCAGAAGAATATTCACAAAAAACTTCTCAATTTTGTTTTATGTGGCTTTGGCTTTATTTGTAATAAACCTGTGACTAAGACATGATTTTGTGCCATAGTCTAGAAGTTTCTAAAGTGATGCAGGTATACCCTGCAGTGTTCTCGGTAGGTCTTCAGCGTGTAGTTACCCCTGATAAACCTTGAAGGAACAGGAGGACTTAGCATTACTTAGGCTCCTTCTTGCCTTGCTTGCCAAAGAAATTTTTTAAAATAAGAACATGTGAAATTGGAAGGTTCCACAAGGAGTATTGCAACTTTTAGGCCTAAGAATTGAGCAAAATCACAAAAGATAGTAAAGTACTTCTACAAATGTGATGAAGCAATATGCTGAATGGGCCAAACAAGACAGTGGATTATATTTTGGTTGAATATATACATATTTTTTTTCTTCTGATTTTTTAATTTTTCTTTTCTGCTATATATTTTTTTCTTCTGAATTTTTTTAGTTTTCTTCTCTGCTTTTGATTTGCTTCCTTCCAAGGAGTAGGTTTGGCAAGTGACACTAACATACACTGAGATCTCTTTCCCTAGCAAAGTAGTTATAGG